CTTTTCCAGCTAAGTGAGTTCAATAGCGCAACCTTGTAATAAGCAGACAGCAAGAATAGGCTTGAAAAATTCGAAACTTCTACGGAAAAACCATAAAACTTATGTTGTAGAAGCAAAAGAGAGATAATCATCAGTTTTGAAGAAGATTTTGTTGAAGATCATACGATCTAATATATTTTTAGGAAAAAATTAACCCATTTTTAGTCAAATTCAGTTGTAAATTGTGGAATTTTATCAATGATTTGAAATTTAATACCATAAATAATGTTAAAAGATTCTCAGATGTTGTAATTTTTGCACAAAATTGGGTTAATCTTTGAGAAAAAAACTCAGAAGGAGTTGGAAGTTGGAGCATGGAGTTTGATCTAAAAGTTTCAATGAATATTGCGCTTATTGTTCAATTGAATTGAGATTCTTAAGTGAATTCTCCTTGAGTTGGACAAAAACAAACAGTCAACTTTACAAAAGAAAGGTTAAAAAAAGAAAACTTTGGATGTATTTGAGTAATTTTTACTTTCTCGAAAATAAGCATAATTATCCGAGAAACCTGAAGTTTCATTATTGATTCAGCTAAAATCCATAAAATACAATTTGAGCTTAGTTTCAAAACTCTACACGTGTGTCTATTTTTTCAATTAGATCAGAAGCAACAAAAAACTAGCCAAAACCTTGAGATTTCTGCATTTCTTTCCAAAATGTTGAATTTTTTGCAATTTTTTCCAAAAACTTTGAAATTTTTGCTTTTTTTCCCAAAAATTTCAACTTTTTTTCGAAGTCTCAGTAGCTTTCAGCATAGTTTCAGCTAAGTTGTGTACTGTTTCAAAAAAAAGATAATCTTATATAATATGTATTAAGTCAAATTAAATCAAATCATATCGTGTTTTGAAATTGTTTGAAAAAATTTCAATTCTATTGAATAACTCTTACTCAGATTACCTCAGGACGTTAAAAGGATTGTTAATTTTTCGAGTTTTTGTCCTGAGTATTTAACTTTCAAAATGCTCGCATCAAAAACGAGAGGTTTAGCGAAATAGTTCCTGCTGTCAAATTCAATTTGAAGTGTTGTCACTTGTGTCAATTGTGACTTGAAGTAATGTGACTCAATCATTTAATATCACTTCAAATTGCCGATGCAGGATCTTGGCAAGATGGAAAACAATTTTTCAAAAAAACTAAGCTAAAGAATGCCTTCGGCAGAAAAATATTTGAAGTTTTGCCCTGATTATGTAATGCTTATGAAATATTAATAGACTGAAAAATTTTCATGCCTTTCTCTCAATTTTTTCTCAGCCATATGCAACAAGACTGTTCACATCAGTGACTGATCACAATAAACTGAACCTTTTGAATACACGTTTTATCGTTTTTGATTTGAAAAAAAAATTGATTTTTCTTTTAAAAAAGAATTTTAAAAATGTTTTTTGTTTAACATCCACCAAGCCGCTATGTAAAAAACAAAGTCGTAATTGAGGTCTGACCTTACGTACATACGAGATTAAAGTTTTTCAATTTAATTTTTGACATTTTTTATGCTTCAGATGACGAAGTAAACCGCGCGTTATTTATCACAAATTTCAAAATCTTCATAACTCTCTTAATACTTAGTACCTCAAGTTTTCAATTCAAATTTCTCATAATTTTTTCAAAAAAGATCGTAAGTGCAAACTGTTTCTGATTTGAGCTCAAGGATATCAATAATTATGTTATGATAAACAAAAGTTCCGAAAAAAAGCTAACTAAAAGACAAAATTCGTTTGCAAGCAAAAAACTATGACACAAACTTTTATTCGTTCTTCAAAAGTCCTTGGCGATTTTAGGGAACTTTTTTAACAATGCAAAGTTTGGAGTATGTTGAAGTTGAGTTCGAAATGGTGAATTCATATGCAAAACTGAAGGATTAGTCGTTTCATTGACCTGCATGAAAGCTTAAAACTAATCCGTTTTTACTTTGAAAATTGAGTTCGGTTATATAAAAGTTAGCAATCAACGCAATGAAATCATGAATCTGTGGAAGTCTTCAAGAGAATATTGAAACTTTTAAACAAACAAATTGCAGCTTGAGGAACAATAATACGTTGACTCTGAAAACTTCATCAGATCAATCAGTTACTTACTGTGAATCAATTTGGTTTGTAGTTGAATTGCTTGATTTGCTTGAAAAGTTGAATTGCTTGATTTGATTACTTGATAAAATCTAAAAAAAAAGTATATTTCAGTTACAGCCTTTGAAATCAATCGGCCAGATTTCAAAATCTTTTTGTTTTCCTGAAAAACTTCAATTTTTTACGAGTCAATTCAGACCAAACAAACAAATTTACTCTGTTTTAAAGTCTTTCTTTCAAAACAAAACAAAAGACGAGCCGCACTTTCAATTTCAAATTCTAATTGTCAAAACTGTCTGAGACAAACTATTAGCCGATTCTTTGATTTTTTGGAGTTTATGTGGTTTTCGAACTCGAGACAGATTTTGTCTGAAAAGCTGTGAAGCAATAAAAAATATATTGATTAGTATAACATTAGACAAGTATATGACTGAAAAAAAAACAAAGCTTTCAGTTTTCAGTTCAATGGAATATATTGGTATGGGGCATTTTGTAATGGGATACTTTCGTATGGGATACTTTGTCCTGTCACCTAAATTTGAACGACCAAGTTGTCACGGTTTTTGAACTAAAATCATTTTTATTGGGTTGGAAACGATTATAGTACCGTTTCTAATCCATGTTTGATTTCGGAAATTGCTCTAACGGAAAATGAAATTGAACAAACCGTTTATGCATTGTGTGAAGCTTTAGTCAAGCCTCATCGATATCTGTTTTTGAGATCCCTAATTCCTGAAGCCTCGAGTATTTTGAATAACTAGGCTTTTGTTTTTTGTTATGAACACAAAATAAAAAGATAGGCTTAAAACTTGGAAACATATTTTGTGCATGGAAAGTTGTTTGTCTTAATTTTTAATTGAAGAAAAAGCAGTTTTTTATTTTCTTATCAAGCCAGGAGACAATTTATGAAATTTTAGCGCTTCAGTGAAACATTTTTGTAAATCTTTTTTTCTTTGAAAAAAAAGTTGGGTTTTTGAGTTTTACTTGGAGTTATCAGGCAGATGGAAAAAAATCCTTGAAACTCTTGTATTGTTAATTTTCAAGCTGTATTGAATTTATGAGAGGTTGTTTATCCCAAAAATAGGTTATACAAGAAAATCTTAATAGATTTTAAAAGTTGGTTTTTAAGTTGTGTTTAAAGTGCCCTTGATAGTCAATTTTTTTCCAAATAATGTTGGATGAATGGTTCGGTGAAAAATTTGAGTTTTTTTGTCAAGTAAAAATTGTTTCAGCCATTTTCGTTTGTGTAAGTCTTAACACATATACCTGGATTAATTTTTTGAGATCAGAGACTCGTGTTCTTAATGCGAGTCTGTCCATTAATTTTTATGTGGCTGCCTTATTTATTTTTATAATAAGTTTATTTTAACTGTTCTCCTATTTAATATAGTCTGAAATTATAGAATTGAATAGGACTGCTCGTATATGCGCAAAACTGATTGATTCAACTGAATTTTAAAATCTATGGAGTCTTATAAAATATAAAAGTTGACAAAATTTCCAAAGGAAAAAAGAAAAATTTTCAGAGGTTTTTAAAGTTTTTTTTGAAATTTATCCCCCACATGCTATTTCAAACACAGAAATTTATAATTTTCATGCAGAAGACAATAAAAACCCTATTTTGACAAAAAATTTTGCGCCTCAGGCAATTTTTTGGAAAATTTTGGGCAAAAAAAGAACCTTTTTCGGCACGCGCTCTCCTTCACAATTAATATATATTGGCGCCATAGGCGCTATTAGAAAAAGTGAGGTTGGTCAGGCAACAACCGATGTCATAAAAGCCCAAAGAGGGACGCTACGGTTGGTGAGAGAGTCGGAACTATAATTCTGTTTCCTCGAAAAGTTGTTTTCATGATATTAAGAAAAGGGTATGAATTTTTTCCAAAAGGGTTTTGAAATCTTAGCTTTGTTCAATTGATATCCGCTTCTCTTCAGTAGCTTTTTCCGATTTTCCAAAAAAGTGAGAAATATATAGGCTCAGAGCGTTTTTTTATCAAAACTCCTGGCTTTCTCAAAGGATTGTTACCTTTATTCGAAAGGGCCTAGCTGGGTGTAGTATCCCCCATAGTGTAGTATCATCTATAGTTCACACCTTTATCGTGCCAAAAATCTGGCTAAAGGCTCGTTTTCTTTTTTTAGCGAGGCAAATTATTCCGCTCTACAAAATTGTTCCAAACTGAATTAAAGAATTAAACTAATGGGATTGTTTAACTCCATACATGACTCAAATTGCAAGACTAAGTTTTTGATGCTATCAGCTTAAAACTCGTGGTTTTGCTAAAGTTTAGTATACCAAAAAACAATTTAGACCAAATGAAGGGTAATTGGAACATTCAGTGTTTTGCCTTGATACGAGCAATCTTGTCATTACGAGGCCAAACTGTGCACTGGATAGGGGTACAATTTTGTTTCTATGTGTTCCTGGATTTCATAGACAAGTCTTTAAATTTGTTTAAATTTTTTTGGAACGATCAAAGGAAAAGAATGAACAAAAGAAGAATAAAGAGAGCGGGTCTATTGCGGAATCCGCTCACAATTCACAAAATGTATAGTTTGGCCTCGTAATTTCTTTTCTTAACATTCATACTCTTTCCAAAGTGGGATTAGAAAGCATCGCATTACCAAGATGCGTCATAACTTCTAGGTCTCAAACAAACTCTATAGTTTTTTTTTATTTTGCATAACAAAACTGTTTTTTTGAGTAGTTTCAAAAACTGCAATTTTTTAGTACACTAAAAAAAGATTATTTTTTTCAAAACTGCAAAAAATCTCTAACTTTTTAGTTTATTAGAAAAACTGTAGCTTTGCTGAAATTGTTCAACATGAGTTTCATTTGAAAGAAATTGTATTCACTGAAAGGACTTTGGTTTGGCTGTTGTGAACGTGATGGTCGTTTACCTGATGGAGATTTGTGGTGCCAATCCCCCAGTGAAGTAGACGTTTTTTGCATCCCTGCCCTCCCTGAAGTGAATTGTATCACTCATTCGGACCTAATAGGAAGAAAATGGAGTTGAAAAAGATCAAAAAATAATGAAAAACAAGTTTTTCTAGCGAACCCAAAAATGCACGAAAAATGAAAACAAATTACTAAAAAATTTCCATTTATTTCTTGTTTAACGCATTTAATTATGTAAGCAAAATCTAAAAGCGGCAAGCTTCTTTGAAGATTTTGATATCCATTTTTTCGTGTATTTGTTGGCGGACCTTAAAAAACTAAATGATAGGGTGAGACGAAGAATTGAAAAGGTAAGCCAACGAATTTTCCTTCGCGTGGGAATCTTTGAAAAACGAATAGACTTTGCCGAAATATAAAAAGTATTCAATATCATCGCTACAATGGCATTGGTATTTCATCCATTGTTTTTGGAGAGACCTGAAAATGGATCTATAGATGTTCCAGGCAGTATTAAATTTAAAGCTTCATTTGTTTATTTTTTGCCTAAAAAGAGTTGATTTTTGTACTTACCTCAAATTTGATCCATCTGTTGACACCGAGGTATATATCCGCTGGAACGATCTGACAGACGTTTGAAGTACAACTGGTGATTTTCTCTGGAATGCTGGTTGCACACATAGTTCCAACTGATCGCCTGGATCTGAGACGAGCTCTTTTGTCATCATCATCTTCTTCTTCTTCTTCTTCTGAGTTTCCTGTGTTAAAGTTTAATGTCACTGGGACGGCTGTGGTTGAAGTTGTTACGTCTGAAATATCCAAATCCTGTGAACAATACCACTCAAACTTAGGCTCACCCGGCTGGTGATCATTAGGAACATTGGCAACGTCCAAAGGGTCCAAAGAGTCGGAAGCGTCAATGGACAAAACCTGGTTGGGATCCGCAGATGTTGGCATTGATTTCAGAATTTGAGCTTTTGGATCAGGAACACAGAATATGAAATATCCGCAAGACTCGGTTGAATGGAATGGTGAACTATTGAGACTGACATTAAGGCATACAACAGCTTTTCCTGGAGACATCGAAAAGGGTTCCAACGTAATTTCTGGCCCAGAAGTCAATTCCAGAGTTTGCTTAGCCGATTCAGTTTCAATCCAACTCTGCCATAAGTAGGAAGCATCATTATTTGGGCAATCGATTGTGACTTTCGCTTCCAGGGTGATTTTTTCGGCGATTGATTTCGCGACTGGGTATTCCCAGCTGGGTCCGCTATTTTGCATGTTGACAAATGGAGGGTCGCATGTTGAGAAACCTAAAACATAACCTTTGGACTTTTTGTGTAATTTTGTTCTATCTGGATTTTGCCACAATTTCAATCGAAATTATAGTATTTTCAATTTTCCAAAACAAAAATTATCCCCTTTCATAAGACATCGTCTTTTAAACTTTTGCGTTAATGGGCTAAAAAAAGTGCCATTTTCATTTTAAAAAGTTATCTCTCTTTCTATATATACTAACCTTTGTCAAATAATAAAAGGATGACTAGCACTGCAACCCAGCTCATGGTCAGTCAATTTTTTTTATCAAACTTTTTATAGCTAGTTTATTGGAAAAAAGCTTAAAAATGAACTGCTCGATAGACTGTGAGTGGTAAGATGGATAATAATTTTGGGGTTATTTGCCTGAAGATCAAAAAAAATGTTTATATTTCAAATATAGTCAAAATTTTTGTTCATATCAAACACCTGCTTAAACAAATGTTTTTAAACCGTTTTTTATTTGAATCATATTGAGTTTCTTTCAATAATAATTGTTGCAAACAGTTTTAATTCAAGTTTTATATATCAATATACTTATTTTAATAAAAATCTGTTATATATTTAAAAATTATATATAAATGTAAATAAGTCTTTGACGAGGATTTCAAATAGTAATTTGTTGATGCTATATTTAAAAAATAGAAAAATTTTACAAGACCAACAAAAAAGAAAGAAGTGATTCTGGGGTTGTTTTTACTGGACTTGATAATCCTACCCGCACTTAGTAAAACGAGTTGATAATCGGTTTTGTGCAGTTTTTGTGGTCTGTTTATAAAAAACTCAAAAATTCTATATTTCAATGAACGACAAGATAAAATCTATCTCAGAAGATTTATGAATTTTAGCGAATTTTGTGTAAAAAGATAAACGTAATTATCAATTACACTAATAGAGAATATGAGATAAGGTTCTACGTGAATAAAAGACATAGGATAAAATCTATCGAACTTCTTTAAAAATCTGAGCGCGATAATTAAACAATCTAATATTGAATAATTTCCGTGTCATTCAAAGCATTTTTTTTCGCAAAATGTTTTTATATCACGTTGAGTGCGCAAAAGTCGAACTGGATAAAAAGCCATCTTTAAACGGCATAGAAAACTTCTCAAAATTGTATTGTTCACTAATGGCGGTGATCTTTTTTTTCACAATCTGCTGGTCACTGCTAAGCTTCCGAATCACTGAGTTGTGCAATATACATTTTCGTCTCATCAGCGACCTCAAATTAATGAAAGTTTGGATTCTAATTACATATGACACAAGACGCCCCTACCTAGTTGATTTTCTATTTCAAAAAAAAATCAGTTCTAAAAATCATATTAAAATCAGTGGAGGATCTAAAACTATGTCGATAGGGGTGGGGTAACATGCTTTTGACTATTTTTCAAAACTTTGCCGACCTTTTTTCGTTCGAAAAAAAATTATATTCATGTCTTATTATGACCCAATTCTCGGCGCTTTTGGAAAAGCTAGAGGGTCGGTCAGTCAAAGATTGATGACTTTTTTAAATCCTAAGAAAAAAGCTTCAACTGAAATCGCTAGTGTCTGTTACACTAACGCCTGTTCTTTAGAAACGATTAAATTCAGATCTAATTTTAGATTTAGAAAAAAATGGTTTTCGTTATTAGTTCGTTATTGAAAAATCTATTTCAGACAAAAACTTGAATTCTAAAACTTTTTTTCTTGATTATTTCAGATTTGAAACCATTTTTGAATTTGAAGCTTTTTTTGCTCAAGATATTTCAACTATTGCTCAAAGTATTTCAGGTATTTGCTCAAGGTATTTTTTTCAGGTTATTTCACTGTTTTATAGTATCTGCTTAACATAACGGATTTTAGCAGAATCTCCATTGCAGACCTTTGCATCATGATTCCCAAAAATTAGAGCGAAATGAGGTTAGGCACGAGTGCTTTGAAGTCATGGTTTTGATTAGTTCTTAACTGATTTAAAAGAAATTCAAAACAGGTCTTCTACAAAAATACATTCAATCAAAATTGCTCTCTTTACTTTTTTGCATACTTCCACTTCGCCCAAGTAAATTTCACTTCTGCCTATATACATGTATACCCGAATTGACAAAAATTTTTTATCATACAGTATTCAAGCATGAAAAAAAATGCTTATCATACTTTTTCATTCAATTTCATAGACAAAAATTAAGTGTATGAAAATAGCAAAACAATCTTTTTTTCCATACTATGAAATTTTATAACAAGCTTTTTTTCCATAGTCTGGAATTTAAAATTGAGCTTTTTCATTAGTCTCCTTATCCCCAAAATTGTATGAAAATAGCATGATAAGCATTTTTTCTCTACCATGAAATTTTATGATAAGCATTTTTTCCATACTATGAAATTGTATGACAAGCATTTTTTCCATACTATGGAATTCTGTGACGAGCATTTTTTGCATACTATTAAATTGTATGATAGGCAGTTTTTTCATTATATAAAACTGAATAGAATGCTTGTTGTGTTGATGAAACATGGCAAGTAGATTTAAGACTATCATATGAAGCGTGCCATCTCTGAAAATGGAGAATATCGAGAAAACAAAAGAGGTTGGAACCTCGACTGCGTTTTTCGCTAATTCTCCACTAGTTTGAGACAGCTCAAACTTGCTAATTCTACCTGGACCATACCAAAGGTTGAAAAAAAAATACAACAAAATTTGAGATGAAAGTCGCTGCCAGACGATATCAACGTTCAATCAGTTGTCGAGGCCAGTATCTACACCCAAGTCTTATTTAGTATCTGCATCCAGAAGTTCTATAAAAAACTAACTCAGAACATCTTGGATGTCAGATATGGAACATCTCGAAAAACAACTCATATATTGTAACTTCTTCCTTCGTCACAAGAACCATCTTTCAAAGGAATCATATATGGGCCCATCCTTTCGAAAATCAACTAAGCGATGGCGCACAGAAACATCATTATGCACAGATTTACAAGGTAAAAACTGTGGAATAATGTGTTTCTAGCTGCCATTGGTTGGTTGGCTTTCGATATGTTCGCCTCACATTTGGCACCTATGACGAATCAAAAATCAATTTTAGCCAGTTTAAATTAGTTTGACCATTAATTGATAATGATGTCGCAAAAAATCAATTTGCTAACTCAATTCTTTAAAAAAATGAATATAATTGCAACAGTTTTTTGATAAAATCAACTCATCGCAAGAATACCAGTATCTACTAGATCTATTGAGATTCTATAGATCTATTTCTATTGAATATAAGAGTAAGATACGGGTTGATACTAGACTAAGAAGTTGCACATTTCTAACCAGCCAAAATTAAGATAGTGTGACGAACAGACGGTGCACCCTATCCAAAATTACTGTATGAGAAGGCCACCCCTGAACTAAACTCAACCACGTTCCCAAGAAAAACCTTCAGGCTAAACGTAAATGAAAATAAAACGGTAAAAAAGACATGAAGAGTTTTTTGCAGAAGTAAAAAAAGTATCATATTTCATATCTACTTCACTTTACCATAACACAGAAATGATTTAGAAAAGCTGAGAGCTCGTTTAATTTAAAAAAAAACCGCAGTCTATTCGTTTTTTAGTTTAATTTTTAAAAAAATTCTGAAAGACTCAGTGGGATAGAAACCACACGTGAGCACTCTATACCGAACTCTATTGCTCCGATCGGAATAAAAGTTTTCTGCGATGATATCATCTAATGACAAATAAATTTACCGTTTTTCAATCAAATTGAAACATAGGAAAGCTAAATTTTACATAACAATGATTCAAAATTGAAAAAATGTGACACAATTGATTTAAGTTACTTTCATTTAAAACTACCCCATCACACTTTAATTGATTTATGAATAGTTTATATCTTTCATATATGAAAAGAAAATGATAAGAATTTATTCGACCAAAAGGAAATACAGTTTTTTGCGACCAAGAAGACTGCTGTCACTTTTTTGTGAAATTTAAGCTCATTCAAAACCACCCGTACGCAGTTTTGATTGATTTCTAAATAAGTTGAAGTTTTCTTAAATGCTTATCATAGATTTTCATATATGAAAAAGATTTGATAAGCTTTTTCTCAAAAAAAACTATAATTAAGTTTTTGAGTGTCAAAAGCCCTCTATCTTATAAATAACTTATTTAAATCTGTATAAAAATACCCTGAAACATTTTTTGGTGGTTTTTAAAAAAATTGTTTTTTCTATGACAAAATGGTTATCTTATAAATTACATACATCAAAAATGTGCGATAAGCATTTCTATCGAAAATTGTCAATGTTTTTGATGACCAAAAAAGCTTCAAAAGAAGAAAATAGACCCCAAATGTTCACTAAAAATCTTTAAAACAATTATTAAATTCTGTATGAATTTTGTATGATCTGCATTTTTTCCATATACTTCATAATGAAACTGCATGATAGGCATTTTTCTTCTAAGGACGTCAACCCGGGTACCTAGGATTGATGCTGAAGTTTGTAAATTTCATTGGCGGCAATATACATTTTTCGCGTGGTGAAAGCATGTAGAAAATTAAAAGACGAAAATTGACGCGATTTATAGTTTGTAGCAAAAAGAATCTCCCTTATTTTGATATTTTTCAAAATTTTCCAAAATTCTCGTAAGGTATTTCAATTTGAGTTCTAAATTAAGACAAACAAAAACAAAACAACTACAAATTAAATTGGCTATTGTGCTTTTAATCTTCCGGCTATTTGACCCAGATAGAACATAACTATTAGTCTTAGAATTCAGAACTATCTTTAAATAAAGTTTTCTAGTCATACAATTCTCATTACAACGAGTTCAAACTGCGACAAATCCGCAAACGCCGCAACTTGTTGAACACAGTTTTGTCTCGGTAGCCGGAAAAATGCATTTTGTTTGATCTTTTTCATTGTTTTAGATTCCTAGAACAAATAAGTAAATCCAAAAATTGCTTCAAAGACATGTGAATTTACAAAATCCTCAAAACAAATTTAGGAATCCCGAACAGTTTTTAAATTTCACAAACAACTAAAAATATACATAAGGAGTAAAAATACTCTGTCGTGGATTCAGCGGAAGTAAGCTGAATCAGCAAATTGTAAGTGGAATCCGCAAATTAAAAGAAACACGGAAATTTGCTTGCGCCAAAATCACTAGCTTTTCTCAATCGTTGTGGAAGGATTTTTTTGTTCAAACAGATCTTTTTCCAAAAAAAAAATTCTGACTCTGTTGGCCAAAAAAATCATTTTTTTTTTTCAAAAAAGAAGAGGATGAACGGTTCTTATTTTGTGAACGAAAAATGGTGTTATACAATATCGTACTACGAAAAATTTAAAATTAAGCACTTTTTATTGAAGTGAGCGACAAAAATTATTTATTTTGATGGATGCAAAATCAACTCGGTACTCACGCTAGGATAAACAATTGTCACAAGCT